TTCGCCTATTATAATCGGTGGAGAGTGGTATATAGGGTTCAGGTTGTATTATCCGATTATTTTATACAGATTTCGATCTGATTTTATTTTATTAAGGAATTTTCTTTAATATCCTCTTTTGATTTATCATATATATAATAAGAATACCCTGTATTCTATAGAGTAATTACTATTAATTATGCAGCTCCAGAGATATACATCTCGAGCGATCGTGTAATCGGGTATCCATTAAGGAATCGATTTTCCTGTCTTCCGATCCGGTCTTCCTGTCGTTCTGATTGCTTGTTGTAATACCTTCTGCATATTTTCGATAGCTCGATCCAGGGCTATACTTATAACTACTATCTGTACCTCCCATTTGATTCCTATTATATTAGCTGATACCATTCTTTGAAATAGAGATAGGTCTTCCTTTTTGATACAATATATATATTGGGATCTTAATGCTAAACTTGCTCTTTGTATAATAATGAGAAGGGTATTATAATCGGATTCGTAATATATATCAGCTCTTACTTCTATATATATTTCTAAAATATTAGAAAAGATTAGATCGATTATATATCCTACTCTGTATATTACTTGATCCAAAATGTTCATAAACTTGAGGTCTTTGTCGCTGAACCATTCTGCGAGCCGATTATTATTATATACTATATTTACACCTGGCTCGAATAATATATAATGAACATTGAAGTCTCCCCTAATGATTATATCCCTAATTAATATCAGGTCAAAAATCATCTCCAGAATTTCCGAGGTATTCGGTTCCCTATATAGGTTTAGTAATTTAATTCTGTTTATAAAAAGCCATATATAATCTTTATACTCTTCTCCTGCTAATTGTAGCACTTGTAATCTAGTTTCAATTCTGATATATATCATTACTCATAGGCATCCCTGCCCTTCCTCGTATATCCTGTTCATCCTCCAGGAGGTCACTGGGGATAGGCATTGATATCCGTTATGTGTTTGAGTGTGTGTATTGGATATCCAGAGCTCTTGTATACATATTACATCGATCTTTTCCTCAAACGCTCGTTGCAATACTGTTGTATATAGTATAAGGCTTTTCTGTATATTTATTTAAACAATAGATAATAGATTCGATCTATTTATATAGATCTTTTATTATTGTATCCTGTCCCCTAATTATAGCCTAATTATTTAAAGCTTCAAGGTTGAGATTCTTATTAATCTTTATTACCCTACTATGAGTGATTTGTTGATCTTGTATATCTCACTCTTCATTCATTAAGCTCCCAGAAATATTGTTCGCTTGCTTTCTTCTAATATTGCTTTCCGAATTACTGTTATCTTTGTGTCGGGAGACTATATCCATTCTAGATTTCCTTTTCCTTCCTTATACTATCACTAATATTTGAATTATTACTACTAGTATTGAGGTAATAGTAATACTAATTTTCTCTATTTGTTGGATAATCTGGATCTACTTTTGATCCGGGCACACTATCTTACCATTCACCCACTAAGGCTTGGTGGGGCAATTGTCATGATCTGTTGGGAAGGGCTCGTGACATCCTGTGTATTGTGTTGAGTGATTACAATTTCTGGTTAACTTATAAGTAGATAATAGATGTGCGCATTTTCTATATATCGCTTCTCTTTTGCATTTCCAGCTTTTACAATATTGCTAACACCCTGGGTCGTATCTTCCCAAGGCTTGTTTTTTACTTGCTGGAAATATTCGGATCTTGTTGAATAGGTTACAACAGGGTAGCTATTCCTGGAAGGATAATATCCAGATGATCCAATTCTGCTTATCTGCTCTGAGCTTGGATCTCGCTACCTGTATTAGATATAATCCCGTTTAATACCAGATTTCTTCCCTCATTTGTTTTTCCCCAATCTCTATAAGCATTTTCAGGAGATCGATAATGATCATCGGAATCCCTGATGCTATATATATATACCATGGCTCACTAATTGTAAAATCTATAGCTTTAATAGCTATTATAGCCTATTACTTATTCGCAAAAAGGACTATACAGGCTTTTGGGGAAGCTATAACTGCCCACCCAGTTCGGGTAGATGTTATTACCACAATAGCTCTAGCCTCTAAAATAGTAATCTTTGGAATTATCTTTACTAGCACTTATCTAATCCCCTATAAGAACAATTCTATCTTGATTTGTTTATTGAATTGGAGAAAGAGTTTTTCATCTATATATTCTAATCTTGATGCTCCATTGATTACCCACTTGAACCCATTTGTAGTTCTTACTTTTATAATTGAGCTGGAGGAAATAGCGATTGTGATTTTGGGGGTTCGAAGTATCCCCACATATATCTATATAGTTGGCTTCACGCTTTTTATTACTGGCTTTGAATTGTAGGTTCTTTTTATATTGTTTGTGATGGTTATTAATACTCTATATACCAATTCTCCTACCAGTCGGCTCAGATCCTGTTCCGCAAATTGTATTGTGAACTGTACAAGGATTGTTTTGAAGCTAGTAAATACTAAAGCCTCATCTACAATGCGCTTTTGTTGTATATCGATCTTCTTCTGAATAGCTATTTTCACAACTATTTCAATAATATTCTGGCCACTTTTGAACGAGCTTGAAAGAGGACCAACGCTTTTATTGCTAGTCCACACTCTCTTCAGAACAGTAATTAAGGAGCAATCATCGAGATTGATCGGGAAGCCCATTGTCCCTGTAGGTGACGGCTAGCTCTCCGGCCCTCTCTGATTCTGCTGTAATAGCATTCTCGAGCCAAGCAGCTCAGAGCGCTACAGCGATCGCGCTAGTATGTATTGTATAATATGATTTCGGGATATCCGTAGATATAGTTGTTATGAGCTCGTGAATATGTGTTTGTCATGAGATGTTGAATGTATATTATAAAAAAGGGAATGATGCGCTAGGTTATATAGGGATCGAAAGGAATAAATAAACAGATGTATTTGCTAATAAGAGATAAGAAGATTAGTTTCAGAATATATAAACTAATTTATAGCAAACAGTATTTGCTTTATAGCAAAAACCGTTATAGAATTGATAGTACAAGTATAATAAATCAAATAGATACTAATACTCTCTAAATAGTATTAGAAATGGGATTCAAAATACACAAACAAATACTTTAAGAAACTAGAACTCTTATAAACGATTTTCCACTATATACTAACGATCCGCTTAGTACATAACGATTTCGAAAACTACTATTAACAATTTAAATACAAGAAAACAACAATCCACTATTTATATAATATATTCAAATCCTTCAAATATATTATACACTACCACAAAATCCTTATAACCTATAAAACCTGATCTTTAGATATCAAGCCCAAATACCTACCCTGCAATTAAAGAGCTCAAGAACGATTATTAAAATAGCTAATATATATATTAGTCAAATTCGCTAAATTTATTGCTACAACAAACTTCTATAAAAGTATATATCCTAAAACACTATTAGAAGAATAAAAGGAAAGAAGGAAAGGAATTGATTGATTCAGACAAATATAAACAGAAAATAAAAGAGAATAAATCTAGAAAAACTATATAGAAGAAAATTGAAGTATGCAGCATACCATATTGTAATAGAATATTGTTGGTATCAACTTGGTGTTGATTAAAGTGTAAAGTACTTCAGTCTATCAATATGATTGATTGTATTATTCGTTTTGATCATTATTAACTATGGGAAGCTAGTACTTGATATAGTAGAAGTGCAAGCGCTAGTGCTAGCGCTAGTGCAATACGCTAGTGTAATACAGTGCCCTCTTTGATCACATGATCGATATCCCGACAAATATATATAAAAGCTATTCTTATAGAATAAAGTAGTTTTCAAATAAATATTATATAAAAAATCGGAAAACACATACAGAGACATTCAGAGGATCGGAGATAAAGGTTTAAGTATACTAGTTATCGCTTGGGAGGCTACTGAGGGTATTGAGACCTCATCCCTAGGAAAGGGGGATCATATAAATTAGAAGATCACCCCGCAGTTAGCCCAACTGTAATGCCCCCTGGGAGGCTCGCCTATACGGCCCGGTTGAAAATTACTAATAATAATAATAATAATAATATACTAGCTCATGACCTACGCTAATTTTAAAAAGACTTAGAAAAAATTTCAAAATTTATTGATTTTTCGAAATTTCTTGGATTTCGAAAGTTTTAGCTTAAGGCTATTTGCAAGTAAAAAAGTTTATTTGTATTGAATTCGATTAGTAATTGAATTCAATATAAAACTATATATATTAGAGTTAATTGATATTCCTGTTTAAACAGTATATTCTGTATTGTATGGTATATTGGTAAAGCTTTTGATTGAAGAATAATTTGAAAGTGAGTAGTAAGGTATTGAACCTCCTCCCCTTTAAACTTTCGGCTAATGCATTTTCCCACTCTTTAGCTTTTACGCTCGCTCCCCCGCTCACTCCCCTTCCCCTCCTAGTTCCCCCACTCGCTCCCCTTCCCCTCCTAGTTCCCCCGCTCGCTCCCCTCCTCCTAGCTTCTATGCTCGCTCCCCTTCCGTCCACCTTTCCTAAAATCTTAAAGGTCCTTCAGCTGAAGGGCCCCTTATTTTCTTTATATTTATTAAAATTCAATAATAAACGATTCTCATTTTGAACTGGAAAGATTCGTCGATGATGAAATATGTATTTCGTCAGGAACGAAAAAAGTTTGAATTCAATAATATACGTATCAAATATTTATATAGGGATTTATACTGACATTTTTTTCGTACATAGGTATTAACTTTGCCACCACAGGGTAATACCCTTTCCATTCTATCAAAGAACGTGAAAGCTTCTCGGCCCACCGAAGCCGAAGTGGCCTCAATGACGAGTTGCAGGACTACAAGGCCCTACCTAGCTTTCTTGATAGATCTCCACTCATGAAAGGAAATCTTAACGTTGAGCGAATGGACGTTCGAGAATACAAGCTACAACTTGCCAATTCGAAGATCCCAGAAATTATCTTATCAGCCCTCTCCCAAAGTCATTCACTGAGATGGAAATTAGCCTCTTCTGCATTTCCAACTCAAAATTGAGGGAGCTTAAAGACTCTATTTCAATAGAAGGTTCAGTAGTATCCTGGTTAACAGTGAATAATGCACTAGCTACATTAATGTAATACTACATCAATCATACTAGAATATCGAATGGGAGTCAAAAACCTTTACAGGGAAATCTATCTGTTGCATATGATGGTTGTATAATTCTTGATTTACTACTACCCAAAAGATTTATAGGAAATTCCTCTTTGAAGTTCCCCATCACCTTTAATATTCATCCAAGATCCATCTCTGAAGCAGTACTTACTATCTCCGAGTTACGAAACAAATTCAATAATAAGTATGTAAAAGACATTATCAGACTTTTAAATGGTTTGGGCGATATTACAGAGGAATGTGTATTATATGCCAAGAATCTAAATTCTATTTTGGTCATTAGTAGTTAGAAAGATATAGTATTTTATAAACAAGACTGGTGTAGAAGTTTGGGATTTCAGGATGCTTTGAGGATGGCCAATCCTTTCTTGGACTGGATTCCTAGAGTATTGCCGATGCCGGTACAGCGGATTGGAAATGTAGATTTGATTTTTGGATTGGGAATTCGGTAGCCAAGAAAAGATTGAGGGAGGATGAAACTTGGAACACATGGATTATGCCTGTATTCGAGTAAGTAAAGGTAGCCCAAAATCGTCAACGGATCTTTTGAGGGCTCTTGAACTTCGAGAGGATGAGACATGCTGTGATTTTCCGGCGTGTTCGAGTTTACGTTTAGAATTACAAAACTGTGTTTTTCTGCAATACCGCAGACATTCCATTATCTAGGGGTTACGATGTATAAGTGTTGGCTTACAAGCTGGTCCACCAGTCGACTTTTTTGGTCGTAAGTGTAACGAGAATCCGCTGGCCACGGAAAATCGAATAGGATAACATTTAGCATATCTTTGTACAATCTCAAAGCATATCTGCATGTCACTGATAAGTCTTATTCTATCGCGATTCCCCGATTTCACGTATTTATAGTTGAATAGATATGCGTCTTTCTTAAGTCCTTTGTTCTTAATCTATCAAAAAGGTTCTGTCCCACTCTAGAAGTCAGTACGACACATTGTACAAGAGCATACCAAATGAATGTAATCCGGATAGCTTGTGACTGCCAGATATTCTACAGAAAGAGAAATTCCAATTAAGTACCTAGTGGCACGACGATAATATTGAGTGAAACTGAGGGATGAATAGTACGATTGACTGAAAGCTCGGAGTGAAAAACCTCAAGTATATGCAAACCGAGATAGAAGAGGATACGTGGGAGTATAGCAGCGGTGGCTGGTGGGCTCACTGAGAATACCGGCCATAAGATAAAGCTGAGGTGCACTCGACCTCGAAATCATTTCGAAAATGTCACAACTCAATATCTCAAATTTACATACATCTCACTCTACGGCTTCTATATTAGACCAAATATACAATGCCAAGCCATAGATCTGAATCGAAAGTAACGGTTAAAGTCCAACCACCTTTATTATTCATCGAGGGTGTGTAAAACAAATCATGGACTTCTATCCCAGAGAACTGGCTCTATGGATTGTGGTATATGATCTATACTTCTCAATAGTATTATTGGGAGCGTACGAAGAGCTTTGTCATTCAATATGCACCCGTTATGAATGGAGTCTGGCCCTGTACAAACCAAGAGCTCGCATCTCTTACTCCTTTCAGCCAGCCACAACGTATCTACACCGCCTTTGGAATCGAGTTCCCCATTGCCGGCCTCGATGATGCTTGGCTTTGTCAATGCACAAGACATCTGTGCCATACGTAGGGTTGGGCGATTTGATGATATATAATATTATATATTCGTCACTTCAATATAATATGTAATATTAGTCAAATCGTATTATATTATGACTAATCATAAAATCCTATAAAACCCTATAAAAATCCTATAAAAGGCTATTTTGAAGCTATTTTGAAAAGAAGATAATTAGTGTATAAATCACATGATTAGCACCTGACTTTTGGGTCTAATTATACACTAAATTGAAAATTAGAACCCATCAAAAACTTTTTCCAAAAACGACCCACTTTCATTTATCCTAATGGTTTTATTGGCCCGAAAAACACGTGCATAAACTTGGCATAATATTTTATATGCCTCAAAAAGTGTTATAATATGAAATTATATAATCATCCTCAAGATTATATAATACGCCCAACGCTAGCCATACGGTATACTAGACCACGTTGCATTTCTGGCCTAGGGTGCCGACTCGCAAATTGTGGACTGGGTCGTGCTGTATTCAACTCCACTGCCGGAGCTACAGTGGGTCTTCCTGCACAAGTTGCGATTATGAGTCGTGTACGTTTCGGCCCGTACCGTACCATGGTGGAAGTAATCAAAGGAGCTCTTTGCGCCGCGGGGAATTTGGATTTGACTTCGTAAGCTGGTGGATTATTTGCGGCCTTTATTGCAAGAAGATCTCGAAAGTGGGCAGCCGGCCGGTGAATACCACGTGGTACAGAATGTAGATTCTTTGACTAGATTTTGATATATCTAGAACACATATTACGAAAAACTGCAAAATAAAATTGCCAACATGGTCCATTAGCCATTCACAGAACGTCAGAATGATATTTCGTGGATGTGGTGATGAAGGAGATCTGCGCAACTCCGTGCTCTGCCTCTTCGTCTTGTCCCACTTATCAGGCAATGCACTCAAAATAAAGTTTAGGGCCTACTCCGGGAAACCAAAAGCCACCTTTGCGACTAACAAACACCCACCAGTGGGTGCACAGACTCACGGGACAACGTGATAGAAAAGCACAATTTCATATCAAAAAGAGTTATTTTAATAATTCGATTAAAATTCAATATATTATTGAATTCTATTAAAATTGAGATATATGATTCTTCAAACACTTTCTTTTGAAAGTGATTCAAATGAAATGCGATTTGAGCTCAAAATACAAATAGTGTGCTTTCTCATCAAAACTTTTGATGAGGAATTATATATTCTATTATCAAGACTTCAATTCTAATTCTTTTGATTTAAAGTTTTTTTAATATAAAATCTTTATGCTTGAAAACTCTTCATCTGAATTTCAAATAAATTTAGTAATAATTTTAATTTTAATTGAATTATTAAGATCGCTCTTTTTGGTGTGAAATTGTGCTTTCCCCCTTGAGTGTCCCGTGAGTCCGTGCACCCACTGGTGACCTGCAGCATTGATTATTAAAGACAAAGGGAAATGAAATCTGCAATATGCAACAATGAAGTAGGGTTTTTTAACTTGAAAATATAAAGTGGAAAATAATCTGCGTGAAAACGGGGGGAATGTTTGCTTGTTTGAGATCAGTTTGGAGGGGGACCCTTCCCACATGCATGCATTTTTTGAAGAGAAAAGTCCAAAAACGGAAACAATTCATCTCCCTATCCTCTGGTGTGAAGTGTAATTAAGATGAATCCTCACGGTGTCAGAGTGTGTCACAAGTTATATAGCTAGATTTCTGAAGACTCGTTAAGGTTGTCAACTACCGGTATCTGCCGGAGCGATTGAAATGGCGACACGCTAACCGATATCCCTACATCGTGCACGTCCCTGTATCGTGCACGCTTTTTTAGCTTTCAAAAACATCAATATCACCATCTAAATATCGCAATAATATGTCTTCAGAAAGCCATATGAAGCTTGTGTTAGATTATATTAAAAGCCAAAAATGTTCTAAATATATTCAGATAGCTTATTTATACAGAGTCGATTATATTATACTCTCAAAACGATATAAAGGCAAAACCATTTCCTATAAGATAGACTATACCGATACACACCAATATCTTTTATTAAATTAGAAGGAAACTTTATTAGATTAGATTAACAAATTAATACAAAGATCTATACTTCCTATAAGTGTTATAATTAAAAACTTAATAGAAGAAATAAAAGAATGCTTTGTAGAGAAGAACTAAATGGCTAATTTTATTAAATAATATAAAAGTCGTATTCAAAGTCGGTTGTCACGGGATCACTTCTGGGAGTATTCAGAAGCTTTACCGCTGAGCTAAACGCCCAAAAGACTAGGAGGTAGAACTGGAAGTTCTACCTTACTCTCACATATATAGCAGGACAGGACAGGACAGAAAGGGCTTAGTGTCACCCCGTGACACCACCCCCCTCCTTAAGGTATGGTCTCCATACCATCACCTACTAGGAGGTTTCAGGATTCAGGATTCTGGATTCTAATGCCTCAGGCATTCAGACAGGCAGACAGGATCTATATATGCTAGCCCTCAAACCAATGAAGGCTTGTAAGCTATAAGTGGGCCCCCCACACAGCTCCACTTATAACCAAGGGTAGTTCTACCTAATGTCACGGGATCACTTCTGGGAGTATTCAGAAGCTTTACCGCTGAGCTAAACGCCCAAAAGACTAGGAGGTAGAACTGGAAGTTCTACCTTACTCTCACATATATAGCAGGACAGGACAGGACAGAAAGGGCTTAGTGTCACCCCGTGACATCGGTATCTTTATTATATTGATAATTTGTATATCAAGGCTAATAATATGAATATGTTTAAATACTTTTATAATCTTATTGGTACTATTTTATATTATTGTTGATTTATATTATTTAAAAAAGCTTTTATTAATTTTTCTCTTTATTTATTTAATTAATAAAAGTAATTATAAAATATAATATTGTATTGAAAAACATATATAATTGGAATAAAAAGGGGTTTCTGATTGGTTTTGGGAAAGCTATAAAGAGGATAATGAGTATTAGTATATATAAAAGAGATAGAATTATAAAAACTAAACAAAATGAATTGAGAGAGTTTATTACCCTTTTAGTATATATAGCTGCCGACGGTACAGCTTTATTACCTATCTTAATTTATAAAGAGAAATCAAGCAATCTATAAGATACATAGATTGATAAGGTGGGCATAAAAGATTAAGCTTATTTTAAAGCTTCAAGTAATAAATGATTATTTAATGCTTTTGGGCTTAATTGTCTTACAAAAATCTTTTAATGCTATATATATCTAAAAGCAAATAAAGAATACCGGCTATTGATTGTAAATGGTTATTCTAATTATATCAATATGGAATTTATATCAAAATATAATGAATTGAAGATTATATTGTTGATTCTGCCTTCTCACTTTATATATCGATTATAATCATTTGATATAAGCTACTTTCTTCTCTTTTCAATAAATTATAGTATAGAACTCAATAATTAGATATATAAAAACAGAGATTTAATTAATATATCAAAATGCAACTTTTGAGCTATCTTTAAAATGACTTGGGCTCAATCTACGACTTCCTATAATATATTACGATTCTTCGAAAAAACAGATATTTATTCATTTAATAAGAAGACTATTATATTTAATATAAAACTAGAAAGAGTTATTATATTATCTATATCAATATAATTTATAAAGAATAAATTTAAAACATTATATATATCAAAAACTCTATATCGACTTAAATTAGAATTTCGATAAAATCAGAACCTCAAGATTACTTCAAAGCTTTTTAAAATTGTCTTTATTAATATAATTAAAACTAATATTCAATTATATAGAGTAAAAGATTTAG